TCACTCTCTGTCCCTTTGTGAGGCTCCAGGTTTCTATCAGCTTACCATCACGTGTGGTAATCCGTGATTATTTTCATCTGTCGTCACCTTCCTTTATATGACTTCTTAGCCTCATCTCTACTTTGCCCTTAAGAATTATCCTTTGATTACCACTGTGAATACGTCTGTAAAGGTTATTCCATTCTTTTTTGTTTCATTTTCTGTTTCTGTTTTATTTCATAGTCTAACATTTTCCAAACTGTACCCAGTCCCAGTTTTCTAACTATAGTTATATTTTGAGGTTAAATCTAAAGACCTGTCATTTATCTGGCTCACCTGGCAACCTACACCTAGAAACAAGGCTGACCTTTGTCTACCCTAGTATCACGTCATCCACAACTCTCTTGTCCTCACTGCCATATTCTAATGTGTATAGTAATTCAATGGTCCCAGAAAGTAGAGACTGAAGTAAGTTTCGTTTGCCAGGATACGATGCTATAAAGTGCATGCTGCCTCTGTTTATGTTTGGTCAGACACGTAGGAGAAGGAAGACATTGTTGTGATCCTAGGGTCCACTACTAGACTTTTTCTCAGAAATGAAAACACTCCATATACCTGCCCAGCTATCATCCTTGGCAGGTTAGGACTGGCTGTGGAGTTCTGATGGTTGGGTAAGACCACAAAGAGAACTGGTCATTAGGATATTCAATTTCTATAGTATTGTATATTGATTATATTGTGAATGTTTTGATATATTTATAGTATTTTATTTTTCACATGTAACATAACAACTGTTCCCCCTCAGAACATCAACTGGCAATAGCATCCAGATTTAATGACAAATGGCAAATCAATTTTTATTGCATTTGTTTAAGAAATATGAGTTAAGAAACAAATCCATGACTAAAGAAAGATTAAGTGTTTCTCCTCAGTCATAATCTGTTACTGAAAAATCTCATTGCCGTTTTTAAATGAAATAACTATGGACAACTACTTTTATGACATCCAATAAGTAGATTTAGAATAACTATATTTATCCATTGTAACAACTATTTTATATTAGAAAAATGTAAGTGATTATTGGATCAATTCTAACTCAGTAAGTGTTGGACAAATGATCAAAAATTGATAATCACTATAGAAGCTTACTAATAAAATTCAAATTTAGTTAATCATGGTATTAGTTTTGAAATTGAAGCTCTACTGGGTAGGATGGTGTAAGCATTGAATTTCTGAGCAGAGTAAGTTTTACATCAATGTTTTAAAACTAGGCCCTTAATTTCTATATGTCTAACCAAATTCCACAATTAGCACAATGCTCATAGAGTTCATACCTAGTTCTTTTTAGTAACTGGGTCTTGTCATGTAGTTATGCTAGATAAATAAGGACTGTGGCAATAGTCTATGTTGTTTTGGAGGCCTCGGAGACCTCTCTGAACAATAATGTTTAAGGAGTGTTCCCACACCTTGTACTGTATTTGATCTAATAACCTGTGTCTTCTGAAAGGGATAACACCTATTCATACACAGAACTTCTCTTTCAACTCTATTTTAATATGAATTTTGAAATTAACATATCAACTACTGAGTTCCCATAAAGCTTTAGCATAATCTTACAAAGCAGGTTGATTTCCAGGTTCTAGCTAAAGCAAATCCATTCGTTGAGTAGAAACATTTCCAGTTAAATTTGAAGTAGAGAACATTTGAAGATATCCTAAAATCTGTATATGCGTAAATACATTTAAAATATATTTCTATACCAGAGAGCAGTTATAGAAAGAAGTCCTAATTAAAAGCAAGTTGCTTAAATTTCTCTAATATTTACAAACATTTATAACTATTGTTATCCAGGTACTATCATGTACATAGGAAAACAAAGGAATTCAAGAATATAAATGCTTAGTCCTATATCCAAGGAGATTTAGTTGTGATAGGAAAAGGAGATAAGCAAGAAAATAAGACACAAGTCAAAATGACTGAGTGAATGGAGATATGTTCTCAACATGTGAACAACAGACGGTATATGAGCTTGTCTTGAGATTACGTCATAGAGAGAGTAACCATAAAAAAAGATAGAGACGTTTAAAGGTAGAATTAAAATGTTTGTGTCCCTCAAACATTTAACCTGTGAAACACAATATTTAATACCACAGACGCATAGCTCCTGATGTAATAAACAGAGAATAGTGAAGTAGTGATTTTTGGTTCCTTTAGAGACTCAGTTATGTCATTTGACGTTTTTCTGGATGTTTTTGCTGAAGCAGACATGTGAGAAGATGCTTTGTTAAGAACAGACATGTGGTGTTTTCCTGGAGGCAGCCTATTTAGCGAGAAATATTAAAAAATAATAATCTTCCATGTTATTATCAGCAAGGCACTGGTGGGTCTTGTTCTCATCTCATGGAGACTCTCTGACCCAGAGCTCCAAAATCTCTCCACACAGCACACACAATCTGTATCAGGAAATCTTCCCTGCAAGTTGGGAGGAGCTAAGGTGGGAGGAATAAGGAAAGGAAGAGGAGGAGTAAAGAGAGAAAGAGGAAAAGGAAGAGGAGGAGCAGGAGGGGGCAGAGATGTAGGAGGATCGAGAGCCACATATGTACGGAGAGCAGTCCTGGGTAACAACTTATAACTAGGTTAGTTAATTTGGAAACACCTCTAATTGTGTGAGCATCTTGTTTATTGAGCATTGCCAAACATATAAAGCCTTTGGTTAATCATTAAGCATTAGAGTCTCATTTTCTACTAGGTACCGCTTGGATGGCGGAATGGTCTGGGCCAAGCCCAGCCTTGTGGAAACAGTGAGGAAGATTGGCAGAGCCATCTCCCACACTGGCATCTTGTGGGTGACAGGGTCAGCGTCTCTGGCCACCTAAGCGGACAGTCTGAGCCAAGCAGTTACATCATCATCGCTGCTGGTGGCCTCAGGCCTAGGATAGTCGGGAGCGTGGTGGCTCTGTAACAAAAGCAGATTGAGTGCTGCGATTTTGCCCCACCATCATATTTTTCCTCTGGAACTCAGTTGAGTTACAGCGTGAAAAAAACAACACACAATCTTAGTTTAGAGTCAAAAGGCAACACAATCCTTGGGAGCAACAACTAGCATCCTAATAGTAAGCCGTTCTAAGTTAAACTCTCCAGGAGCAGATTCCAAGGAAGCCACCTAAACCTGGTGTCTCTGCAACCTACATTTTGGCTCCATTGTCCTTCCCATCCAAAAGCCCCCTCTCTTTCTTCTGCCACTGCAGTCCCTCTGTCCGACCTGGAAGTCCTGCCTACTCACCCAGTGATTGTTTCCTTGAAATCTTTATCGTTAGAAGGGGCACATGAAGTCCGGAGTACGTGATTCACTCCTTGTCTTAGACAGCCCCTCTTGAGGAAGCAGAATTAGCATCGAAATACAAACAGTGCCAGGGCTATCCACAACAAGTCTAGAAAAAAGACATATGATGGTTTGTTAGAAAAGATGCCTGAGATAACATGTGACGTTTGAAAATAATATAAATATGACTCAAAGAACAATGGCGCTGAGTGCTACTGATACGCCTTGACATTCTTTATTGGTCATTGTTGGGCTTTACTGCTGGTAGTCTTCACTGACGATGCTCAATGGTATTGGTATACTTTATAATTTTTTGTTGGCCATCCTTTGTCATGAATTCATAGATTAAAAACCCACCAAAAATCCTCTAATTATGTTCCAACAGCTTCTTGCAGCCTCTGTGGACTCCGGCCTATTGACAGAGATTTGCAGTCTCTTCTGAGCTGACCTGAAGTTGCTGATTCATGAATGGTGTTTGCAAGTGGATCAAACTGCAATACTGATTCATATAAACTAAAATGCTGTTGTCCTGATGATGAACATTAGATTTGTTCCAAAGAAATATTTCTAAACAGGACCACATCCTCCTCTGCTCTGCCTTTCCACTTCCTCTGGTGGATGAGGGGAGATAGAAGAGACGTTAAAATATTTAAAACTCTTACTAAAAATAGATTTTAAAACTTTAAGTCTACAGAACAGCATGAAGTCTTGAGGGAAATAAAAGCATACAACATAGGTAAAGTGTTTATCAGAGTAACTAATAAATGGTAAGTATGATAGATGTGAAAATTTACATAACTGAAGCTTAACTCAAGTAATTAGAAAAAAATCTGTTTGTAGTACTTAGGGATAGTTTAAATCATCATCCTTAGGAAGAAATTTTTTTACTTTTTATTTTAAAATAAAATTTAGTTTGGATTATCTTAAAATGAGACCATATGCTTCTCAAATAATGAAAACATTTTTAAACACACAACTGAATCATATATATCTGACTGTTTTCTAATTCCCAAGAGCATTTAATCATGATTTATATTTTCATCATAAAATAAACACAGAAAAAGAAATCTGAATTCAAACAAATTACTGTTAGTCATAAGCATTGGTAACTTGATGATTTACTGATTTAATTATTAATCACTGTTGATAAAGTAATCTCCAATAAGCACTAACTTGTAGACATGATTTACTAAAATGATGATTTAAAAATGTATTGTTGTTGTTTTTCAATTTCAAATAAAGTTGTAGGATTTTCAAGAAAAAATCCTACAAATCAAGAAATTTATCTTTGGAAATTTATGTATCATATATGCTAAGGCTATGTAGCAAAGAAAATAACAATTCATTGAATATAGCAAATAAAAATCAAATCAATGAATACATGTCAAAGATACGATGAAATTCTTCTCCTTGTCCTTGTAGCCCTTCTTACATGAAAAAGAATGGTTGTAAAATAAGAAAGAATATAAGGTTTTAGAGGTGACGTTATTAAATAGAACATGTTAGCCTAGAATGTAATTTCCACAGGAAAATGTTTGACATGGTAAATTAAAGAGGCTTGTGCATATGATAACTGAGCCCCTACTGAGCACTATAGATAATGCGAAATTGGCGATTGCCATCATATTAAAGGTAGAATATCACTTAACGTTTCAAAGCACATATGCATTGTATAATGTTATTGAAAATAGCACTTCATACTGTGCCTAGAGGTGGCATAGGTATGGCTCCCATGTCACCTGTATATCAGTAGCTGGCAAAGAGGAGAGAAGCTATGCCTATACTTAGTGTTCTGACTTTTTGAGTATCTGAATTATTAGTAGCCTAACACTCCCTGAAAAGAAGCAAGCCTGAAACTACCATGTGTCTGGCACCAGAGCAGCCAGGACAAGGAGCTAGCCTGAGATGACCACCAATCCAATGCTGCACTGGCCTGGACTGGTTCCAGGGATAGAAGAACCCTGCCTGAGACTATGGGGCCCTAGACAGTAGTGAACCCAAGACAGAAGAACCTTGCATAGGGCCACTAAGGTTGGCCTGGGTGAGGAGCAAGCCGGAGATGCTTACCATTCTGGTGCTGTGAAGGCCTGGAGGAGAGTAGACCAGGCCCAAGATGACCCCTTCCTGGCACTGTAATCCATAAGTGGGACATAACACTCCTGAGAATACTCATGATAAGACCTCAGACACTCAGACCCAGTGTGCCACTAGCAGGTGCGAGGAAGTGGTAGAGAAAAAGAAGAAAAGGAGAAATGGGAGGATGTGGGCACAAACAAGACATTCTTGTTGCCTTGTGTCATAGAGATCCTGTACTTTTGGATGGGTAGGACCCGTTCCTTCATACATTCCTACAGTTCATCAATGGGGTAGATACTGGATGGGTCAATTCAAAGCCCTGGATCTGGGTCTGAGAGTTAGGTCTGATGGAGACTTGAGGATAGTAAAGAACAGACAGATCTGAATAGCTGGTGATGTCACCTGGTACTATGGTATGATCTTGGCCTATGCTGCCACAAGGGCTCACATCTGAGTTTGTGGCTCTGCAGCAGCAGGGCTCTGTTACCTCCAAGGCCAGACAGACAGCCAGGTCTTGACAGCTGCCTGCCCGAGGACTTGTTGATGTCCAAGGGCTGTGTAGAAGTGTCCCCAATCCTCATTAGGGCATTGTAGGAGAGCTGTCCCTGGGGACTTAAAAACAGGAGAGCAAACCCTGTCCCTAGACAGCTGTAGTATTCTGCAGATCAGGAGTTGGGGTGAGTTGATCACAGGGCCTAAAACCAGGAGAGCCTTCAAGCTAACCAGTTCAGATACCTACCTCTCAGACCCAGATCCAGGGCTTTGAATTGTCCCATCCCAATATATAACCCATCATTGAACTGCTGGAGTGCATGAAGGGGCTGATACTACAGATCTGAAATTACAGAATCTTCATGAAAGAAGGCAACAACAGGACATCTGAGAGGAGTCCCAGTGAGGGTCCAGTATAGACAGAATAGCAGAAACTAGAGTCCTCATACCACCAGACCAGACCAAGTCATTGAACATTTGCAAGCAAAGAAGTATAGACAAACAGATATACTGTGGGACACACTGACACAGTGCTCCTTCCACAATGAGATTTTTCCATTTTTGTTGGAGGGGGAGTTTGCAAGCATGGAATTGCAAGGAGGGGAGAGGGAGAGATGAGTGGAATTGGGGTGCATGATGTGACATCACAAAGAACCAACAAAGAGTTAAAAATAAACAAAAACTAGCACTTCAAATATTCACTATTTCTTTGGTAAAAGTATTTAAGATTTAGTCTACAAATTTTCAAAAGTATATAGTATATCATGCCAAGTCTGTAGTCACACATGGTCCCCTCTTTCCTACACCCTGCTATAACTCAACACAATGGGTTGATCAACCCATTCACTGATCAGCCTTGCCCTACCTCTGCTTCCCTCCTACCTTCTTGAACCTTTGACTGTCAGCATTCCACTCTTGATCTCAGTTAATGACTTCTGCCTGTGTCTTGGTTCTGCAAGTCTTCTATATAAACTATTCATTTGGAAGAAAGTTAGAATTCCTGCCTTTCTCTTTTCCCAGGAACATTTGACTAAGGAGCCCTGGATTATATGTAAGTTGCCTAGCTGTCCTGAAGCCCCTATTCTGGACAGATCATCTACGGGAAAAGACAGAGATAGAGAGGGATGTCTGAGAATGGTCAACAGCTTCTGCCAGAGGATGGAGTTGCCTAGGGTCAGGAATGAAACCTTCAAAAACTTCAGGGGATTCGAAGAAGAACAGTGATCTGAGCACTAATGGAAATGTAAATTTGTCAGATAGTTGTTATTAATGTTTCAAGTCATTATTATTTTTAATTTATGTCATTTTTACATGAACATAATTGTGTATGGTTATAGCATCAAGCATGATGTGTTTTACTGTTTTTGTTCTTATCTTTTTCAGACATGGCTTTGTGTTAACCTGGGTGACCTCAAACTTGTTTTAAAGCTGGGCTTAACTTGATGTTGAACTCCTAATCCCTCTGAATCTGGCTTGGTGTGGTGCTTATTTTTTGTTTTCTATTTTTTCAGATTATAATTTATTTACAACCTTTCTCCCTTCCCTTAACTTCCTTCAGACCTTCCTGAAGAGCTTGGTGTTTTATGCATGCATACACTGAGAATTGACTAAATCAAGCTAGTTAGTGCATAGAAGGAGCTCATACATACTAATGTATGGTTTTTACAAAATCATACCTAGACGAATTATTAATCACATTTTGATTGATGTTGTCAAAGGTCCTTAAACATACCTCCCTACCACTGGTAAAAAAAAATATCTTGTGTTTTAAAATTGATTTAATTCTATTCTTCTCTTTGTTCTCAGAACTCTAGAACAATTCTTAGTGTCTCGAATAACAGTTATACATACAGTTGCATAACTATTACTTTTTCTTATATATTCCTATAAGGGTATTAATTTATATCTAAAGGATTATTTTGGTCTAATAGTTTTTCCTATTTTTAATGTTAATAATACTTCAAATTTAAGGTATTTTTTTTCTTTTTTACCTTTTAAAATTATGTTTGAGAATTTTGTAGACGTATAAAATAAAATGTGATGATATCTTCTCTTACCTCCCTCCAACTCTCCTCATACTTCTCCCTCTCAATTTCATGTATTTCATTCTTTATTTTATTTTTTAAACAACAGTTTTATATTTCTTTGGGAATTTCATGCTACGTATTTTGAAAATAATGATCCCTTTCAAATTGAGCTCTTCACATAACCTTCCTTTCCAACCTTCTATCTCTTCCCACGGAATTCTGGCATTTGTATTCTTTTCTCTTTTTTTCTTTCCTCATCATCAGTTTGTACTGTCTAGCTAACCCTGGGAATGGGACTTGCACATTGTTGATCTACCAATGGTCACACAATTAAGGAAAACAGTTTATTCCAAGCACCTGTCAAATGCTAATAACTTCTCAGTTAGTGGCTCCTTGATTTGACTGCCACAATGTTTATTTAGTTTATAAATTACATACATATGTACAGTATATGTTATAATAATGTAAACATGTACACACAGAGATGCATACATGCAAATGAATCTTTGCGCTATTTTTCATTATGTTTGTTTTGGCTTTTGAGCCAAAGTGTCGCTTATGTTTGTAATTTTCCTGTGCTCAGGCTTCTGAGGGCTTGGATTGCAGTAGAGTACCATCATGCCTTTTTCAAGGTTAAATTGTCTTATATCTTGTTTTAACCTTTGTTTCCTTTCATATTTCAAAGTGACAGAATTAAAAAATATACACTTTTTTTTAAAGTTGGTTGTTTTTACCAAAGTGTGATCAAGGCTATATGTCAATGTACCTGGAATATTATAATAATCTCTCCACTTTGTCAGCAAAAGCTTAAGTAAAGCAGAGAATTTTCCCCCTTGGGATATGTACTTGGTCGCACTTGCTTGGCAATTACTGCTTAGCTGTTGGATGATATAGAGAGGATTTGAATTCATATATAAATATGAAATCAATTATATCTCTTTTAGATTCACTTTTTACTCCAAACTTATGAGCACTTGTTATATCATCAGGGATGCTTTGACTGTAGCTGCCGCTGGGCTTCATAAGTACATCTCTTTCTCACCTTCAAAACTGGCTCTTGAAACTGGCCTATAGAGCACACTCCCACAACCATTAAGGATCTGAGTTTGATACTCAGAACTCATATGAAAATCTGAAAGCAATGTTCCAGGCTTGTAATCAAAGAAATTGAGAGGTGGATACAGATGGATCCCTGGGGCTGTTGGACAGCCAGTCTAGCCTGAAAAGCAAGCCCTAGATCCAAGTAAAAGTCTCTGTCTTCAAAATCAAGATAGATGGCTTGGATAGTGCAATACCCAACGCTGACCTCTGTCCGCTACATGTGTCTACACTTTGAAAAATTGTTTGTTAAAATTCTTATTTTATATCATGTTTGTGATTGTTGAAGTCTATCATGTTTATTCATTTTACATCATTTATTTGATATCAACAATAAGAAATAGAGGTTAAAAATTATAATTTTAATACTTTATTAATCACTGAGAATAATATATAATAGCCAAATACTGAAAAGCAATGCTAAAAATGTTGACAGATATCAAAAGACGGAAAGATATCCTCTGTTCATGGATACATAGGATTAAAATAATAAAAATGGCCATCTTACCAAAAGAAAGCTACTGATTCAATGCAATCACTATCAGGATTCCAAGACAATTCTTTAGAAACCTTGAAAAAACAATATTCACCTTCATATGGAAAAACAAAAACCCCACAATAGCTAAAAACAGTGCTATACAGTAACTGAACTTCCAGAGGTATCACCCTACCTCAAGTTACCACAGAGTCTGAGCTGGCCATCCTGTCACCAGGCAAGGCCTCAAGTAGAGGGATTAGGACAACAACTATGCAAAAAAAAAAAAAAAAAAAAAAACCTTCAACCTATAGATTGTCCTGCCTTCAGAGTATGCTGAGACCAGAGCCAAACAGAATCATCATCAGAGACCAGAGAGACTTCTCCCAGCAACTGATGGGAGCAGATCTAGAGTCCCACAGCCCAACATTAGGTGGAGCTTGGAGAGTTCTGTGGAGTAGGGAGGGGAAGAATCAGAGGGACCAGAGGGGTAAAGGATGCATGAGAAGAACCCAGACCACAAATCAACTGTCCAGGACTCATGGGAACTTACAGAGAACAGGGAGCCATAGGAGTCTAACCTAGGTCTTCTGTAAATACATTATGGTTGAGTAGCTTGATGTTCTTGTGAAAATCCTAACAGTGGGAGCAAGGGCTGTCCCTG